CCTCAGACTATCAGTACATGTAAACGAAGAAGCAGCATGATTCCTTGGCCTCAATGAATTGGATGCCACTGGCTGAGTCAAGAGCATCCTGGGTAGATTTTAAGAGACAGGTTTTTCCAGTTCTGACTCAGCTATAGGACTTGGGGGCATGAATAGATTGATCTCTCTGTGCCTTACAATAGCAACCTCCACACCCACCTGCTTCCCTGGGATTCTGTAGCTAAGAGACATATTTTATAAAGACAAGTGTTATCAAGAGCTTCGGGTGTGGTTCTGCCTGAGGATCAGAACACAGAAGATCTGTCAGGTCTGGGCCCTGAGAATTTGCTGCTAGTTCCTAAGGGCAAAAGTAGCCAGAGTTGCAAGGCTCTTGCTGGTGAAATCCCTTTTGTGTTGGGTTCTCAGGTTTGAAAAGGTAGATGTATCAGTAACTTTTTGGTTGTGATAAAACACCATGACCTACACAACTTATAGAAGGAAGGGGTTAGCTTATGGTTCCAGAGGGATAAGAGTCAGTCATGGTAAGTAGCAGACATAGTGGTTGGAACAGAAGCTAAGGGCTCACATACTGAATTGCAAGCAGGAGAGAGAGAGAGAGAGACAGAGAGAGAGACAGAGAGAGAGACAGAGAGAGTGCTCACTGGTAATGGCATCAGTCCTTATAAACCTCAAAACCCACACCAAATGTCATGTAGTTCATTCAACAAGGCCACACCTCCCAAGGCTACCCAGACTGCACTACCAACTGGGAACCAAGCATCCAAACATCTGAGCCTGTGGGGAACATTGTCACTTAAATCATCACAGTAGGAGTAGGTACTGCCTTGAGTTAGGTGTTATACATGCATTGTTTAATTATGCCCCACAGCAAACCTTAGGAGGCAAGTGGTATTCTCATTCTATAGATAAGAAAGCAGAAACAGGAGAAATGGCTTTCCTATAGTCATACATTCAGTGCCCAACTGAGGATTCAGTCTAACTAATGTCTCCCCCCTACAATATGTTCCCAGTCATCCCTCTAGCTAACAACTCTCTGATATACTCTACACCAGTGGTTCTCAAATGACCCTTTCACAGGGGTTGCCTGAGACCATTGGGAAAACAGATATTTACATTACAAGTTATAACTAGCAAAATAACAGTCATGAAACAGCAATGAAAATAATTTTATGGTTGGGGGTCACTACAACATAAACTTATTAAAGGGTCACAGCGTTAAGAGGATTGAGAATCACTGCTTTACACAATGCTGTTAAAAATATAGTTTCCAGGTCTTTCTTACATTATGACTTAGTAGATTTTAGGCCAGTCAAGGTGCCTATTTTTCTTTTTCTTTTTTAATATTTTATTTATTTATTGTGTATACAGCCTTCTGCCTGCAGGCCAGCAGAGGGTACCAGATCTCATTCAAGGTGGTTGTGAGCCACCATGTGATTGCTGGGAATTGAACTCAAGACCTCTGGAAAAACAGTCAGTGCTCTTAACCGCTGAGCCATCTCTCCAGCCCCTCTTTTTTTTTTTTTAAAGATTTATTTATTTATTATGTATACAACATTCTGCCTGTATGTATGCCTGCCGGCCAGAAGAGGGCACCAGATCTCTTTACGGATGGTTGTGAGCCACCATGTGGTTGCTGGGAATTAAACTCAGGACCTCTGGAAGAGCAGCCAGTGCTCTTAACCACTGAGCTGTCTCTTCAGTCCCTTCTTTTTCTTTCTTTTTTTTTTAATTTTTATTGTTTATGTTTTAAGGTTTTATTGTTTATGCATTAAAGTGAAAAAAGAAAAAAGCCTCCTGGGTAATTCTAAATTTAGCCAAGGTTCTGCAAAGTACACTTTGAGAGAGACTACCCATTCTGCCTTCCTTGCCAGTTCAGGTGCAAAGTTTTTAAGCCACATGGCTGACAGACTTAAGATGTCTGGGGATCTCCTGGGAGCTTGTTGAAACAGACTGCTGGGCCTCACAGCTCTGGAGTTCTGATTCTCCAAGTCTGAGTAGGACCTGGGCACCTGCCTTTCTAAGTCCAAGATGATGCTATAAGGCTGCAAGCCCAGAACACACTTCGAAAATGATTGTCCTAAGAGTTCGCCTATCAAGGTACAATCCATGGACCCTGAAGCTTGATACAACCCCTCAGGCTTCCTCTCACACCTCTGAACTCCAATCTGAGTGCATTTTAACACTGCCTTAGAAAGACCAGACAGGAGCAAAACCTGGGGTGGAGATGGATGGAGAATGTCCCTTCTTCCTTATTAGGAAGCAGCAACATGTTAGGAGGATGGACAGGAGGGGGACTGCCAAGAGACAGAAAGGATAGAGGGCTCCTCTGTGAGGAAGGGAGAGAGATGCTAGGCCTGAGAGAGGCTGTGGAGAGGCATTCTGTTGATTGTCAACGTGAGGAGAGGGCATGCAATGACTGAAGCCTTCGGTAGGAAGGACAGTCGTGTGAGGGTGTGGCAGATGAACACATCTGAATCAACAGTTGGCTGAGCAGTCAGTAGGGCTGGGGTAGGAAAGCTTGAGCCTGCAGGGGGCTCTGTCAGGCTAGTGTTTTGATTCTGTCTTACAACTGGAAAAACAACAAAACAAAACAAAAACCAATAGCCATGCAGGATGGAGCCAGGTCCTCGGTCAGTACATGGCACTGAGACCAGGGTCCCATTGGTAGGATGGATACAATGGAAGTTCCGGGGTGTGTGGGGACATAGAGGAGAGGAGGGAGTACATGCCATGGGAGATCCTTGGACCATTACATCTTTTATGCTTAAAGAAAAGGGTGGGGGAAGCCTTCAGAAGAGATGGACTGTTCCTTCCTTCATACATGAATACATATGAATAGACCACACAGGAGTTCTTTATTGCTCAGACATATTAAAACTAATTTGGGAGTGGCTAGGCTGCAGTGCTCTCCATGTGAGTGGAGACTGCTGGGGTCCCCAGAACCGCCCAGTCTTGACTCCTGCCCACGCAGCTCCGAAGGGAGGGAGCATTGGCGCCTGTAAATCCCACAGCTGCTGGTCCTGTCTGCCCCTTCTGACAACTTTTACACCATTTTCTCCCTCCCTCTCTCACGAGGAAAAAAATCTCCTTAGTGTTGGAAGCTCCCCTTTCAGCGAAGCCCTTCCTTTCAAGGACACACAGGAAACCAGGAGATGAAACATATCAGACTTCTTTTTTGGTTTACGTTTATGGCACTGTGACAGGAATCACGTGTCATCTACAGGCAGGGAGCAGAAGGAGATGAATACTCTTGCCCTGCTTGCTGTCCCTTTTTTTTTTTTAATTCAGCCTAGGACCTCAAACCCCGTAGTGGTATCACCCACATGTAGGGTCAATGATCCTACCTCAGTTGATGCAATCTGGAGACTCCCTCACAGGTACTCCTAGACACTTGGGGTTCTAGATCCTGTCAGGTTGACAATGTTAACCATCACCACTTCCATGTAGAGTTCACACGCTAACGCGTAAGTCTCCCCTCACTCACCCGAGGGGGCAGCATGCATTCCAGCATCAAACAAGACTGAAACTTGATACACGCTGTGCCAACCTCAGGCAGGGTTTTGGTATCTGGGCCTTTGCCTCCTTCCTACTCACTCCTGTGAAGGGAGGGCCACGTGTCATTGTTGCTGTGCCTGCGCTGAGACCTGTGTGGGGAACAGGAAATTTTCACGGATGTTCAGGAATAGAGGCAATAAAACCGTCTGCCTCCCTTGTTTCCGGGACTACTTTGAGCAAGGCATGTTCTTGTCCAGGCTATGAGGGTGAGCTAGGTTTATTATAAGGGAAATTTCCTGTTCCTTCTTGGAAGAAGGTGCCATACTTTGAAACAAGAACTTCTTGATTCTTGATTCCCTCCTGTGTCAGGCTCTGAGGAGAAGCCAGTTCCTCATAACCATTTGTCCAAGAGGGGATGAAGCAGGCTGCTTGCCGCCTCCCACGAGGGCCAGATGTCCCTCTCCTTTCTTCTTCTTCTCTTCGTCACCCTTTCTCTTTACACAGGGACCAGTGCCATTTGGAAAAGTACAGCTGGGTAGAATATGAATCAGCTCAGACAGGCGACAAGTGATTCACATCTGACCAACTCAACGTAGTTCCGGTCTTCCATTCTGAAGCCTTTCTCCCTTCTAATTAAACCATGATTGCTCTTGGTGGTGGGAGGGAAGAGGCTATGTCTGTATTTGTGGAAGCTGGGGGTGGGGGAGAAGGGGGATAATGGAACATGCTTTCCTGTTTGGCAAAGCCCAGGTGTGGTAGTAGCATGGCGGTGGTGCTGGAGATGCTGGCACCCTTGGGACCTTCTGGGCCTAATATGCAACCCGTGATGGACAAGTCGCATCTTCCCCATGTTCTCCAGCTGAAGACTGTGGGCTGTGATAGCCTGTGACCTGCTTTCAGAAAGTACACGAACCTGTCGGTTTACCGCGTTAGACCCAGCTCTTGAATCACTGGGCACAGTGCCTGGGCACAGTTGGGGCCGGGAAGAGGCATGTTGATCTAAGCATCTCTTTTGTCCCATCAGTGCACACAGTTAAGCCTGTTGCTGCTAACGGTGTTAACGTCTCTTGCTGTAGATTACTCCCACGTTTCTGCTCTGGGTCTTTCAATCTGGTGTGGCTGGCAGTTAGCGTTCTAGAGCCTTGGGCAGAGGAACCTGAGACCTCTGGGCTTCCTGTGCCTTCCTGACGCTTCCTTCCATCGGTTGACAGGCTTCGGGCACCTGCTGCACGCCACGCACCACACTGGGTCAGCGGAGGCTGCAGGCCAGTGCCGTGTCTCTCCAGGTCTGCTTAGCAACCCCTTTTTACTGCTGAGGAAACAGAGGGCAGTTAAATGGACTCCCCACCCAAAGCTCTTTAGGGTCAGTTTAGAGTTAAAATGATAGAAGAGGTACTTGTGCCTCTGGCTGACGCTGTCACATTAGGTCACAGTGAAACCCCTTCCACTCGAGTGTCTCGGACCTTCTTGGAGGGAGCCCTTCCTAACGAGTTTGCTTTCTCCAGGTGTCGACTTTAAGATGAAGACCATCGAAGTAGATGGCATCAAAGTTCGGATACAGATTTGGTGAGTTGGGCAGCAGGAGGAGGCAGGTAACTCTGAGCCGTGCCTGAGAGTGCCACTGTCTTCTGTAAAATCCTCTGAGCTTTATCCGGGATAACTGGGTGATATCTCTTTGAGGAGTGAGATCAGAAACCCCTATTTCTTGTTTTATGAACCTTAATCTCAGAAAACTATGGGAGTGATGAGAAGCCACCAAAGGGAAGAAGTTAGAAGCAGTTAGTAAAATAAGTGCCGTGTGTACGAGAAGATTTTTCTTTGCTAGCCACTTTGGTTTATTCCCCGCCAACCGCCTGGGCTCTGCCACATTGTAGTCCCCAAATAAACACACAAGAGGCTATATTAATTATGAAGCTGTTGGCCTTTGCTTGTTTCTTACTGGCTAGCTCTGACTTAAGTAATTACCCCATAATTGTTAATCTAAGTATGTCTCTTACCGGAGAATAGTTCCGGGCTCCTACCCCATGGCGTTACATCTCGAACTCTCTTCTGTGTTTCTCCTTCCCAGAATCCTCCTGGACTCCTAGTCCCACCTATCTAGATTCCTATTGGCCAACAGTGCTTTATTAACAAATGTACAGGACTTCCCCCCATCAGCCGTGGGCTTATCTGTGAATTGGGCTTTACTCTGGAGCTGTACCACTGTGGCTAAGCCTGGAAGGCTGAAAGCACCATTCCCTGGCTTAGATTGGGACTGGTTGTTTTGTTTTTGTTTTTTTGAGATAGGGTTTCTCTGTGGCTTTGGAGACTGGCCTGGAACTAACTCTTGTAGACCAGGCTGGTCTTGAGCTCACAGAGATCTGCCTGCCTCTGCCTTCCAAGTACTGGGATTAAAGGCGTGAGCCACCACTGCCAGGCTTGTTTTGTGTTGTGTGTCCCCCCCCCCCCCCAGTGCCTCAGTACTACATGGTGCAGTTTCCACTACTAGCCACCAGGGGCTGCTATGGCTTTCTCTAAAGGTAGAAGGCCATGGGAACTACCTTTAGCAATGCCCTGGGCACTGGGTATGCCCTGGACACTGTGTGTGGGACAGGTCCTCCCATCTGGCCCAGCATGGCCACAGTGGCTGGGTTCTGGAGAGCTGTCTATGGCCCAGTCAGGTTGTGGGTCCTGAGAAGAGGCTGAGGTCCTGCAGGCCTTCCCTGGGCCCGTATCCAGGACCAGGCCTGCCTCTCACTGCAGACTCGGGTATGTTTGGACACTCTTGGGGATTAGAGAACTACTATATTCTCATCCTAAAGTCCCCCAGCTTTTCCTCCTAGGGTGCAGGGTATCCTAGCTCCTGCTACCCCCTCATCTTCTGTTTGCATGGTCCCTTCTCTGAGCAACTGACTTTCTCTTGCAGGGACACAGCAGGGCAGGAGAGGTACCAGACCATCACAAAGCAGTATTATCGGCGGGCCCAGGTGAGCCACCATTTCAGGGTTAGAGCTGGGAAGCTGCCCTCCACACTGCTAGCACTGGGTGAGATGCCTGTTTCAGATCGCCTGCGGGGGAAACTCAGCTTTTCACTGTTCTTCAGTTGCTCACAGACCACTTCCTGCAGCTGGGCTCCTTCCCCTCACACACAGCTTCTAATCTTGACTCTTACACCAGACCAAAGACCCAGGTCAAGTCATGCAATACCTTCCTAGAGAAGAATTCCATGAAGAAGCTGGGCGGTAGTGGCTCACACCTTTAGTTCCAGCACTTGGGAGGCAGAGACAGGCTGATCTCTGCGAGTTCAAGGCCAGCCTGGTCTACTGAGCGAGTTCTAGGGCAGCCTCCAAAGCCACAGAGAAACCCTGTCTGCAAAAAAACCAAAAAAACAAAAGAAAGGAAGAAAGAAAGAGAGAGAAAAGGAAGGAAGGAAGGAAGAAAGGAAAGAGAGAGAAGAATCCCATGATGGGCCTACAGAGCGGTAGCTATGAGCATCTGGGGGAAAGGAAACACGTCTGTGTGTTCTCATCACAGGCAGGAAGGAGGGAGAATGGGTGGACATAGAACAGCCGCCAGTCTGGCCCCATGACTGTATATTCTACTGTGTCTGTCTCTCTCTTTTCCCCTCTTTCCCAGGGAATATTTCTAGTCTATGACATTAGCAGTGAGCGTTCTTACCAGCACATCATGAAGTGGGTCAGTGACGTGGATGAGGTAGGAGATGCCGCCTTGCTGATGGGGTGGGGGAAGGGTACCTTGGGGAAAGACAAAGCAAGGGCCTTGGCAATAAAACAAGCTCTCAGCATTGGCCAAAACAATCTTGTCTTTTACAACTTTGGGTAGACCATTGGGTAAGTCATGTGGAAAAAGCTGAAGCTTCCGTACCCTTATGTGTTATACCCTGCTAGGATCTGGTAGCCATGTCTTTCTCGGATACCCATTAGTCCCAAGACTGCCTCATGGGCAGCTGCTTTCTCCAAACCTCAGGTCCAGATGGAATTACAAGTCTGGGCTACTAGCCCTGCACATAGTGGAGCCTTGGCAAGCCATTTTACCTGCTGGGTCCCCAATCTCTCATCTGTCAAGTAAAGGCTAGACAAAGTCCAGTGTCCTTTGCAGTTCCAACACCATTCATTGAACCCAGTGAAGCATCTGTATTAGCATCTTCTACCCTAAGCTGTCCCTGTGACATTCTTAGGGTCAGCCATGATAGTATAGTCCCCATGGCAGTCCACTCCCCATGCAAGCTGAGATGTACAGATAGTACCAAACCCTTTATATGTTGGCTTTCCCCAGTCTTGAATATCTGTGATAAAATATATAAATTAGACATGGTAAAAAAAAAAGCAATAATAGCAGAATTGCAATGTACTATAGTAAAAATTACTTATGAATCATTTATTTCTGGAATCTTTCGTTTAATATTTTTAGATCAAGGCTGACTGATGGTTATTGTGGGGATAGGGGCTCCTATATGCTGGAAGCCTGCTATCTGTCTACCGAGTCAGCCTGCTTCTTGAGCTTGGTGGTTTGGAGGCCAGCCGAGACTGTGTGGGGGAGGCGGAGACTGTGGGGGGAGGCGGAGACTGTCTGGGGAGGCGGAGGCTGTGTGGGGGAGGCGGAGACCGTCTGGGGGAGGCGGAGACTGTCTGGGGAGGCGGAGACTGTGGGGGGAGGCGGAGACTGTGGGGGGGAGGCGGAGACCTCTGGGGGAGGCGGAGACTGTGGGGGAGGCGGAGACTGTCTGGGGGAGGCGGAGACTGTGGGGGGAGGCGGAGACTGTCTGGGGGAGGCGGAGACTGTCTGGGGGAGGCGGAGACTGTCTGGGGGAGGCGGAGACTGTCTGGGGGAGGCAGGATAGGCGCACTCACTGAGGCCCGCCTCCATTTTGTCCTCAGTACGCACCAGAAGGAGTCCAGAAGATCCTCATCGGGAACAAGGCTGATGAAGAGCAGAAGCGGCAGGTGGGAAGAGAGCAAGGGCAGCAGGTACGCCAGGTCTCGCTCTGGGGCTGCGGTGGCGCTTGCCGGTAACCCAGGAGTGCACCGACCATCATCAGGACAGGACTCTTAGGCAGCAACTCTAGCGGGCCCAAGACCCCTTAAACAGGATGATGCTGTGCTCAGGGTCACCTCTGTGACAGAGATAGGGAAGCCAGCTGCTGATATCTCTAGCAGACTCTGTGCATAGCAGATGTAAGGAAGGGTCTCCCACTACACCCCCCTCCACATCCTGACGCCACGTGCCTGGAAAGCGTAGGAATGAAGAGTCCCCAGACAGACAAGCCTCCGGGCAGAGAGGGTCAAAGCATATCCAAGCTCGCGGGGAGACCATACTCCCACACAGCAGAAAGACTGATATTCTCAGGCAAGACTCATCTGAATGCCTCGAGAGTTTTTCTCTTCCTCTCCAGTCAATAGCATTCCATTAGTCCTTAAAATTGATCAGGGGAGGGGGGATAAAAAATAATTCAGTGTCATTAAAATAGGAAAGTGGAGACAAACCCTTCAAGAGTAGAAGTTTTTATTGAGCACTACCCAAGTAGCACTGTGGCCGTGCTCTTAGCTGTGTGACCCCATGTAATCATTTACTAACCCTTGATGCAGACACTACCACCCCTTTTAATAGAGGATGACGCTGGGACTTGGAGAGAATGGCAGTAGTAGCTTGTTCTGGGTCTTATAGCTCCTGGTGGCCACATGGCACCTAGACTGTCTTGGTTGCACTCAAAGCCCATGTTTGTCATTTACATCATTTATATGCCGTGTGCTGCTACCTTTGTGTCCTGGTGCGTGCGAGAGAGAGAGAGAGAGAGAGAGAGAGAGAGAGAGAGAGAGAGAGAGAGAGAGAGAGAGTTGGATAGAATGGGTGTATTGGTGGAACATCTTGTCCCATTCTCTGGCAGCCTGTCTTAGAAAGAGCCCCAGGTTCCCAGAGTCATGACATCACTGCATTCGCATTGAGAGTGCCATGGCAGAATCCCATCCCAGGCGGTGTGGGCCTCCCTCCTCTCGCTGACTCTCTTTCAGAAATGCCCTTGTCTTGCAGCTGGCTAAGGAGTATGGCATGGACTTTTACGAAACAAGTGCCTGCACCAACCTCAACATTAAAGAGGTGAGAACACCGGAGACCGCTGCCTGGTCTCTGGCTGAGCCCAGGAGAGGGGGCGGGGGAGAAGAGATGGCAGACAGGAGCCTAGAGAAGATGGGAGGTGCCCTTCCGCCTTGGGCAGTTGCAGACAGAGAAGGGGACACTGACTGACCTGTGTTCCTCGGCTTCCCAGTCCTTCACTCGTCTGACGGAGCTGGTGCTGCAGGCCCACAGGAAAGAGCTGGATGGTCTCCGAACACGTGCCGGCAATGAGCTAGCATTGGCAGAGCTGGAGGAAGAGGAAGGCAAACCTGAGGGCCCAGCGAACTCTTCAAAGACCTGCTGGTGCTGAGGGTCCTGTGTGGAATCCCCCCCCCACCGCAACTCCCTTCCCTCAGGAGGCCAGTGGAAGCAGGGGAGTCTGGGCTTTGCCCACTGCTGTCCTTGCATTTGATGACCCTGTTGAAAATCAGTAGCTGCTACTCCCCTGCCTGGCCCTGCGAGCAGCTCTGCTATGGCCTCTGAGCAGCCTGTGCCCCTAGCCCCTCTGCCCTGGAGTGGTAACCTTCAGCCTGTTTTCCCAGCCACAGGCCTGCTGTGATCCCAGAATGTGCTGTGACCATCTCACCACCCCGAGCTCCTGGGACAATGGTCAAGCAGGAGTCAAGGCCGCTTAAAGACTCATTTCTTAGTGCATCTGTGTACTCTTTCTCTCCTTTGGCTCCATCTGCTTCCCTCCGGTGTATTCCGCATCCCTGTCTCTCCTCTCCCGCTGCCTGCCTGTGTGTCTGCTGTGTCTGCTGCCTGACTGCTGTTGCAGGTCCCTCCCTCCCTCTTGCCCCCTCCCTCCCGCTCCCCCTCTCTTCCTGACTCTGCCTAAGGGAACGGACCCAGGCTCTGCCCCTGGGAGGATGACCCACCCTACTCTGGGGTGGGCCTAAGGCTCCCGGTGCTCCTTCCTCCCCCCTCCCCACAGCCCCTCCCTGAGCCATGGGCTGCCTCCCCAGTGACCTGGGAGAGTAGAACACTGAGGTGGGAAGGGAACACTCCTCATTGGTCCTCAGGCCTGGGCTGGCCTCCTCTGCCTTTGCCTTTTGCTGAAACCTTGCCTGGCTGCCTACAGACCGGTGAGGAACTGAGTCCCGAGGCAGGCATAGCAGAGAAGAAAACAAAAGGATGAGGGGTGGCAGGGACAAGTCACCTCTATTCTCTACCTCCTGTGCAGAGTACATGACCTCTTCACCTGGATTCCTGAATTTAAAGATGGGGGTCGAGGCCTGAGGACGCTGAAGGGCAGGGGGAGTCCTGGGGCCAGACACTGTGTAGTCAACTGTAAGCTCTAGAAAAAGGCGAAGGCAGTTGTGAAGGGCTCGATCCTAGGTGGCAAGGTTGCAAAACTGATTGCTGTGTTGGCAGCAGGGCCTCTGGTATGGGAATATTTACCCAGACTCCCTGGCAAAGGTGAGAAGTGACGTAACCACGTCACTCTTCTTTCACTGAATCCAACCTTCAGAAGGTAAGGTTTCCTTGGGCCCCAGAGTCTGTGGGCAACAGGCCTTAAAACATGGGGAGAGAGGGCAGCCATGGGCAGAAGTGCTTGGTGCCGTCTGCGTCCAAGACTCCCTCCTCTTGCCCCCTTACTTGTAAGTAGACTTCTGGCATTGCTGAGTAACTACCAAAGGAGGGAAAAGGATGCCCTCCTCCAGAGGTCTATGCTCAGGAAGCTTCTTTAACCCCGTGGTCCAAGGGTAGTTTGAAGGAGGCCCCTACCAAGAAAACATGCTAGGGGCCATCCTTACATTCCCAAGCTGGGAGGAGCTCAGGTAAGAGAATAGTCCCAGCACTGAGTGGCTGGGACTGGAGCCAAAGCCAAGAAAAATTGGGCCCTGACTGAGCATTCTCCAACCAAGGACCTTTCAGATCCAGGGCACAGATGTGAAGACAAAGAGCCTTACACCCTTTCAGTCCTCCAAAACGGGTATGGGGATGGAGTCACCGGAACTTTCATCCTGACTTAGCAAACCAGGAAACAGGCAGCAGGAGAGAGCAGCTCAGGCTCTCTGGTGGAGGAAAGTGAGGGAATAGTACATTGTTCACTGAGAAAGACAAGCTGGCTCTGAGACTGCGCCATGACTGACTGAGGTGGCTTCCTTGGGACGGTATCACACAGCAGGGGAACAGACTTGCCTTCTGCCAGGGATCTGAGAAACCCAGGGCACTGGTTCTAACCTGTGACAAGTGTCACTGTCCTGCTCTCCCAGCTCCTCAAGAAAGTACCCTAAGGATTCTGGGAGGGAAAACATGGGGTTGGGATTCTGTGGACTCCGTGATATGGTCACAGCTCTGGCAGCAGAAGAATGGCTGAGATTTTGGGGTGCGCCTTGCTCACTCCATTCTGGAGTTTGGGTCACCCTAACTGCAGGTTTTGGAGGTGGCTTGGGCTGTGTCATTGGCCTTGACTGTTCAGCAGGCTTTCCTGGCCTGTCTGCCCATTGCTGGAGAGTAACTCACCCTGGTCCACCACCTGAACCCCAATATCTCCCTGTGATGGGTGAACTTTGTGTACTGTGTCTTGGGTCCATTATATGAATTTTGAGCAGGATTCATCTATTTTAAACACAAATGTTTACAAAATAAAGAATATTTCAAACCACAGGTGTGTGTGCCTGTATGAATCTCCAGGAAAAGGTGTCATTGGGACCTTAGCAGTGACATGGAGGCACAGTGAAAGATAGACATAGAAGAGGCCTGAGAATCTTAAAGCCACAGTCCAATGACAATGGGAGTGGTGAGCGTGATCTGTCTCCCCTAGTGACACCTGCAGAAGAGCCCAAAACAAAACCCCCACTGCCCTGCTGTGAGCTTACAGGGGCAGGGTTTGGACTGGAGGAGGATGAACATCAGAGGGGTCTTTGAAGCCAGAATGGTGGCCATCTGTTGTTGATGAATCAGGAAGGTCCTTCCTGAAGGCATTAGGAAGGGTCGGGTAATGTTTCAGATTTGTCATTGGATACCCCATGGAGCAGAAGCAGATTGGAACCTAGGAAGAGGAGGTGTTGGGAACACGGAGATGCTGGAGATAGACGATGGAGTGTGGGTAGAAGGAAGAAGGCAGGAATAAAACAGCAGGGCAATGGTAGTCCTGAATCTCCTGAACAAGTCACTGTGGGAGGGAGTGGTTACCTTTATGAGTCCAACAGATAAGGAAACAGGTTCTCGGCAAGCTTTAAAGACTTGACCAAGGGCCCAAGAAAAACAACAGTTACAACTAAACATCAGTGCCGTGCACTCTCCAGAGTCTAGAGTCTAAATGGAAAAGATTTGGAATATTTAGAAAAATCTCTATAAGCAATTCTTTTGCAGTCAGAACCAAGAACCACCCACCTAGGCTTTTCTGCCTATTAAGACTTAGAACAATTGTTCTGCTGCAGAAAGCCGTAGGGGAGACTCTTTGTTAGCATGTGCCCAAAGTTAAAAGCTTCTGGAAAGTGGGGGCAGTGTGTGTGTACCCTGGAGACAGTATTTTAGGAATATCTCATCATTTTTACTCAACTGTGAGAAGTGAATATCCAGCAGACCAGTGAGGGCCCTAGTTTTCTTGGAGAAAATGAAGAACAAACTTATTCCTCACTCAAGACTCATGGCATGCTTGAAGAGGGCCTTCAAAGGGACAGCAAACAAAAGGCTTTGGAAGCCCAGGCTGCTGGAGGAAGCTCTAGATGGTAGAGAAACCTGGAAAGTTAATAAGTTCTTATTTGTATCATTGCCAAGTCCCTCTGACTCCATAGCTTGGTAGGGACAGCTACTGGCTATATCCAGGGACTTCCTGCAGTCTCAGCAGAAGACCTAACTTCTTGCCACCCCACCCCACCCCCCAACCCCCGCAAGACTCCATTCCCACTTGGCTAATGGAAACTTGTTTTTAGGGGGCTGTCAGTTGAGACTATGATTCCCACACTCTTAAACACATGTAGAACAAGCTATGAGGTAGAAATGATGAGAATTCCTGGCAAGTAGTTTCTTGGCCTCTCAAAAAATCAAATTCTGAAGACTTGATGCACCAGCCTTGCTGACTCTGTTCTAGGAAACATCTCCCAATGAATATGTACCTATGAAAATACCCTCTGGGGCACTGGAGAGATGGCTCAGAGGTTAAGAGCACTGACTGCTCTTCCAGAAGTCTTGAGTTCAATTTCCAGCAACCACATGGTGACTCACACAACCATCTACAATTCAATCTGGTGTCTATGTAATAAATAAATAAATCTTCTTAAAAAAAAGAAAATACCCTCTGGAGACCAGGTGGTGTTGCTATACACCTTTAATCCCAGCACTTGGCAGGCAGAGCTGAGCAGATCTCTGTGAGTTCAAGGCAAGTCTGGTCTACAGAGCAAGTTCCAGGACAGTCAGGGCTACACAGAGAAACCCTGTCTTGAAAAAAAAAAAAGAAAAGAAAAAGAAGAGACCCTCTTGGAAACATTTGCCTTATTAAAATAGCCAAGATAAGCCTGATTGTTAGTTGTACTGGTGACAAGTGTTTCTTAAAAGTCCCTTATTTAGTTGGCCAATGCTTGAATAATGGAGTGGCTTGGATAATGGCCTTTTCAGCTGCTAGAGTGCACCCCAATGATAGGCCTCAGCAGCCAAAGACACCAGCCGTAAGCTAATGGCTGGCTCTGAGGCATCATCATGGTAACCTACTTGGAACCACAGCTGCTTCGCCTTCCTGTACATTTCCTCCTGTGAGGAAATCATCACACACTCACGGAAGCCTGTCTTGAAAATCTCAGCGACTGAACCTTTGCCTGGGAGGGAGACAGGTTCAACCCATCCACCCAGTCTTTGCCATCTGTTCTGAGTCTCCTCCTGGTCACCATGCCGGCCCTGCTCCATCCTCATAACTGCTGGAGGAGTGCGGAATAGAGGTGGAGGCTCTAATGTAGAACATGGTACAGCGGGGGACAGAGACCTCAATGTTCTCCATGACAGGAACATCACTCACTGAAAGACAAACACAACTTCATCCCTTCTGCCTGCTCCAAACCGAGGCATTGAAAGTCATTGCTTCTAGAAAACGACACACTCTCCTCCAAAGGGTCCCTGTGATTCTGCTTTAGACAGCACAGAGACATAAAAAGTAGTGTACATCCTTCAGTCGTCACTGAGTCAGGTGGACATCAGCCCCAATTCAGACACCTCGGAGACCGGTGCTCAATAAATGCATTTTACAAATGTCTGCACCAGGTAAAAACAACTTGCTGGGGCAAACAGGAGTCAATCTTGCATGCTCCCTCCCTTTTTTCCTCACCATTTGACCTTTGAGACTCTGGTTTCCAGCAAGGAGTGAATTATTCACATCCGCTCATAGATATCAAATTGGCCCTTTCCAGGCTGCCAATTGGGTGGGACAGAAGGTGGCTTTGTTCAGAGACTGTAAATAGGCAGAGCCACAGCCTTGTTCAAACAGAATGCAGGTGGGTGCCCGGTTTTTACTTAATCATCCTAGAAATGCTCAAGGGCATCTGGTGAAATCCTTTCTTGTCTTTCCTGGCTCCACCTTCCTCCACACCCATTCAACCGGCTTAAGTGAGCTCACACACCTGGGCAGGGCTCACTGGCTTCACCATGGCTTACATCGCCAAGTCCTTCTATGATCTCAGTGCCATCAGCCTGGATGGGGAGAAGATAGATTTTAACACGTTCCGAGGCCGGGCGGTGCTGATTGAGAATGTCGCATCACTCTGAGGAACAACTACCAGAGACTTCAACCAGCTCAATGAATTGCAGTGTCGCTTTCCCAGGCGTCTGGTGGTTCTCGGCTTCCCTTGCAACCAATTTGGACATCAGGTGAGGAGACCCTGGGGTTCTTCCCAAGGAGCTTGAGGGAGATAAAGACGGGGGGGGGGACAGTGAAAGTGCATTGGAAAATCTGGAATTGAAGGGATGCTTCATCAGTCTAGGTCTAGGTGAGCATGAAATGCCACCAGGAAGTAGATATGCTCTGAGATTAAATATTGAGGGTGTAACTTTTTTTTTTTACTGTCTTTCCAGAACATCCTATGAAGGATGCTACCAGATCTCTCCATTGTGTTTTTGCTGGGTACCAGCAAAGTGATTCATTAATTATCTGCCGAATGAATAAGTGGAGAAAGTAGAAGGTTAAGAATCAGACTAAGATGGCGTGGTAGAGCATTCCTGTAATCCCAGAATGGCAGTGAGACGTGGAGGCTCAGGATTGATGCGGGTTTGAGGCTAAACTCAGCTGCATGGCAAGACCTCATCTCAAAAACCAGCCTGCTCAGTTGGTAGAGTACTTGGCTAGCATACCCAAAACTGTGGGTTTGATCCCCAGCATTGCATAAACCGGCTGTGAAGGCTTGCCCTATAATCCCAACACTTGAGAAACCGAGGCAGGGAGATGAGAAATTAAAAGGTGATCCTCTGACTACAGCTAGTTGGAGGCCAGCCTGCCCTGGAGAAGTTGTCTCCGACAAGCAAACAACTGGGATTGAGCTGATGAGTTCTTGGGAGTCCTCGGTCCCTGCAACCGTAGTTCTACACTTTAATGGCTCTGATGCCCTTGAAAGATGCACCTAGTTTTCTGTTTGACTCTCCTCATCTGTTGATTTAATATAAATTGACTCAGATCATAGCATTCGTAGCTGAGTTCAGTGAATGAAGAGGAGGATCAAGGGTCCTTCCGATAGCCCTTTAGAAACAAAGGGAGTAGTTACATACCCAGTCTTTGTAAGTACTTAATGGCTTAACAGACTGCCCAACCCCGATCTAGAGCAGTCGCCTTCTATGTGCCTCTGTCACACACACACACACACACACACACACACACACACACACACACACAGAGAGAGAGAGAGAGAGAGAGAGAGAGAGAGAGAGAGAGAGAGAGAGAGACAGAGACAGAGAGGCATGCATTCATTTATGCATGCATGAGTCTCCTATCACCGTGCTTCCTTTCCTCCCACCTGGTTCTGCTCCCTTCTGCATCTGTGTGTGTTGAGTGCATCCTTTGCCCGTGCCCTGTGCAGCTCATGAATCCAGGGTGAAAGTAAGACCTGGGTGAGTGACAGTTATACCTTCCAGCTTTCCTCCTTCCTTGTCCTAGATCTAAAATGCAAACAGGAGGACGTTTTGATGAAGAAAGACCCCAATCCAAGGGAGTTTTCGTTTTAGGTGCCACTAAGGCAAAGAAAGTTAGTGACAATGGTGAATGCACTCTACTGGAACCACTTAGTGACCAAAGGATAGTGCAACACAGCACTCATGACACACACACACACACACACACACACACACACACACACACTATAAATAGATGTAAAAGATTTAAAAATCAACTACACAATGGCTGGGAGAGAGTAAGGCAAGGGAAATGGAGAAGAAACACGCGTACATGCAACACATGCTTGCACACACAAAAGCAAAGAGTGACCCTAGGAGGAAGAGCTGGAGAAGGAAAGATTTGCGCTAGAGAATCCCTGGTTCCTCTTCATTTTTCCTGCTTTTTGTCCTCTCCAGGAGAACTGTCAGAACGAGGAGATCCTGAACAGCCTCAAGTATGTCCGCCCTGGGGGTGGGTACCAGCCCACCTTCAGTCTTACCCAAAAGTGTGAGGTCAACGGGCAGAACCAGCATCCTGTCTTTGCCTACCTGAAAGACAAGCTGCCCTACCCTTACGATGACCCGTTCTCGCTCATGACCGATCCCAAGCTCATCATGTGGAGTCCGGTGCGCCGCTCAGATGTGGCCTGGAACTTTGAGAAGTTCCTCATAGGGCCAGAGGGGGAGCCATTCCGTCGCTACAGCCGCACCTTCCAAACCATCAACATCGAACCTGACATTAAACGTCTTCTCAAAGTTGCCATCTAGATGTGAGCTGCTTGGAATGTCCCGCTGTTTCCAGTCCCTGAGTATTCTTCCTCGGGACTCAGTGTACCCCCAGGAGACACTGGGGGACTGAAGCGTCCCCGTCGCTGGAGCACCGTGCCTCCTCTGCCTGCCTGTTTCCTTTGGCTCTTGAGGAACCACTTGGGGCTCTAGGTCTGGGATGGGCTCTGGGCCTTCACAGAATGACGGCACCTTCCTAAACGCTTATGGGAGCTGTCTGAGAAGTTGTGAAGCGCTCAGAGTTAACCTGCTATTGAGTCCAATAAAGGGCAGGTGTGGAAATGCCTGGGTCTTTGTATCTTCCTTCCTAAAAATCCCACGCATCTTATTTCACTGTGTGTGCGTGTGCACATGTGTGGAGGTCAGGGGACAATTTTGGGAGTTGCTTCTCTTCTTCTACCTTGGGCTCCAGGGATGGAACTCGGGTCATTGGGCTTGTGTCTTCTTTCTTGAGAGAGGTGGAGGGCTGTAAGAACCGTGGTGCCGTGGAGGGGCTGGAAACACACTAAGGTTTGGGAGAGGGGGCTCTGATCGAGGGGGTACCCCAATTACTGTCTGGACTAGGTTGCAGTCAAGGTGTGCAGTGACAGTTGGAGTTACAGTAAATGTGGATTTATCATTTCATGGCTCGCACAGAACCGAGCAAAAAGAGGAAGTCATAAAGTGGGGTAAAGAGAAGGACAGCAGGCCCTTTGGCTGAGTGCTCTGGCTGCTAGCCTACAGTCAGGAAGGAATCACTAGAATAATCAAGCGTTAGCTGGGTGTAGAAAGAGCAGTTACCAGGAACACAAAAGGCACTTTATCCTCTTCTTGGCCACTTTGTTAAATTTATTTTTTTAAGATTTATTTATTTATTATGTATACAACATCCTGCCTCCATGTATGTCTGCACGTCAGAAGAGGGCACCAGATCTCATTACAGATGGTTGTGAGCCACCATGTGGTTGCTGGGAATTGAACTCAGGACCTCTGGAAGAGCTCTTAACCTCTGAGCCATCTCCCCAGCCCCCACTTTGTTAAATTTAAATTTTCTAAAATTAAATTTTGTGTGTGTGTGTGTGCATATGCATGCACACGCATGTATATATGTATGTGCTATGGCATGTGGAGGTCAGAGACATCTTGCAGTCTCCCTCCACCATGTGGGGCCAGGGATTGAAATCAGACCATCAGGCTTGTAAACAGACGTTCCTGTTCTGCCTTTGTCCTTCTCAAGCTCCTCCACTCACAAATCCAGGCACAAGGCAAACAAATAGTGGCATGAATGAATTACTGAGTTAATGTCTTCCATGAAGGTAGGGGAAGAAGAGGCAGAGGCATGATCGCATTTACGTCCTCCATGAGTATGGGGACACACAGACACACCCAACCTTTAGAGCAGAGGTTCTCAGCCTGTGGATCGTGACCCCTGGAGTTGAATGACCCTTTCACAGGGATCGCATACCACATATCCTGCATATCAGGCATGTACATTAAGATTCGTAACAGTAGCCTGGTAGTGATGGCGAACACCTTTATTCCCAGCATTCGGGAAACAGAGGCAGGTGAATCTCTGTGAGTTCGAGGCCAACCTGATCTACAAGGTGAGTTCCAGGACAGGCTCCAAAGCCACACTGAGAAACACTGTCTCAGAAAAAAATCATAACAGTTTCAAAATTAGTTATAAAGTAGCAATAAAAATAATTTTATGGGTGGGGGTCACCTCAACATGAGGAACTGAGTTAAAGATTGAAGCAGTAGGAAGGCTGAAAACCATTGCTGTAGAGGTTGAGTTTATAATCTGCCCGCGTGATTGGCACTCACTGTGTCGAATGGCTTTGTCAGGATGCCCAGGTTCCTCTTCCAGTGCAAGCTTATTCAGAAAGGAGCAGCAGCACTACCAGAGCCAGGGGCTGTCATGCTCTGGAAGAAATTCCTTCTGTTACAGTTTTCCCTTTTTGTCACTAGATGGAACCACTCGGTCTTAAGCCTCACAGAACGATTCCCCAAATCAGACACCCTGCTAAAGAATGCCAATGCAGCCACTGTTTCCCTTTCATCCGTACATAAAAATCAATCCCAAGCCTTTTCATCACCTGAGAAGCAGGTGTGGGGCTGAGGCAAACGATGCTGTCACTGACAGTGCTTCATGTCAAAGGGGTAACCTGAGTGTCACGGTGAGAATTCCCAGGCATCCTTCAAAGCAAGGCTGCTTGACTCTTGAAAATTCAGCCCTTTGGACTGCTTATCTTAAAGCCAGCAGCTGGGGTATAAATTCTTTTGCAAATGAAGGACCATGCAAATTTTAGAGTAGTAACGACCGAGACAAATTCTTTCCCTGATGAAACGGGAAAAGGCATGTGTGCAGGGTGTTACTATGGATTTTTTTTTTCTTCATCATCTTAATGGTGCCTGCCATTGTATCTGTAACAGACAGTTATCCTAGATGTCTGGCTAGCCTAGAGGTTGGCATTATGCCACTGGCAATTTAGTGTGGGATATGCATCTTTTCTAGGTGGTTCAAACTAAATGAGTAATTTAGGGATTCCAGAAGAATTAGAATTTTAGTATAAATAATTTTACACAGAGTCAGGAGGGGCAAAAATGGTAGGAAGTGGGCTCTTTACTTAGGCAGGGGTAATGCTGTTTCTTCAGGCAGGGTCTGACCAGTTTTTCTCAGAAGGGGACAGAGAGGCAGGATGACCTTCCATGCTGCTATTGTTAAAGTGAAAGTAAGGGTTGTTTTCCTCTCTACTTCGTCTCATTTGTCCATGACTTGTCCTCAGATGCAGCAGCTTGTGGCCATCAGCAGATAAGATAAAGATTTAATGGAATCTCCCACTTTCCTGAATAAACAAAATCTTTTAATCAAAATTTTCAGAGGACACTCAGGAGTAGGAAGAAGTCTCATTAATAAGCTCTGGCAGAAGTGCTGAGGTAATGTTGCTTCATTTAGAGGAATGCCAGGCTCACTTCCAAGGGCTCTCCACTGAGGAGCTCAGAAGTGACTTTAGGGGACCAAGATATATAGGCTGAACTGGGTGACTATGACTTATAATATTTATAACTATGTCTCACAGCTACATCTTTTTAACTTTTTAAAAATTTTACGTGCATTGGTGTTTTGCTGGGAACTGAACCCGGGTCTTCCTGAAGAGCAGTCGATGCTCTTAAACACTCAGCTATCTCTCCAACCCCCCCATAGCTTACATTAACAAATACTGAGCCAAACTCTAGAACGTTCTGATAAAACACCATTAACCACTATAATCAAAATATCAGTAACTGAAATCAACTACGTCACAAACTGCATCAAGAACTTCATATGCATTATTCATGTGAACTCCAAAGGAATTCTCTCTCTTTATAGAGAGAGGGTGGCTGGATGGATTAGCTGTATTACAACCTGTAAGCCATTCCAATAAATCCCTTTCTCTAAATCCATAGACTCATTCTGTAAGATTGTTCATCTAGAGAAACCCAAAGGCCTTTTGAAGACACAGTTACAGCACAAATTACATGGCAAGCATTCTGGAGAACTGGGCCAGGGTTCTCCAGAAGGTGGTATATGCTTTGAATCCAATATATGTCCAGAGTACAGTACTGTTTCTCCCATAGCCAGGATACACAGGCCCAGAAATCAAGGGGTGGGAAGGGGAATAATTCCACTTTCACTCTTAGTGACCCATTTGGGAAATTTTTTGCTTCCTGTTCCAGCAACGTTAAGTTCTACTGATCTAGACGTTTGGTTCCAGAGAAGGGAGTGCCAGGATCCACAACAAACATTCCATCCAACTGGAAGCTCAGACTTCCTTCTGGTCACTTGGGACTTCTGATACCCTTAAGCCAACAGGCTAAGAAAGGAGGGGTGTGACTGATTCAGATTACCAAGGGGGAAATTGGCTTGCTTCTCTACAATGGAGGTAAGAAAGATTATGTCTGGAGTGTAGGAGATCCTTCAAGGGCAGTGGTTCTCAACCTGTGGGTTGCAACCCCTTTGGGTCACATGGAAGATATCCTTCATACCAGATGTTTACATTACAATTCATAACAGTAGTAAAATTACAGTTATGAAGTAGCAACAAATTACTTTTATGGTTGGAGCCACCACAGCATGAGGAACTGTATTAAATGGCTGTAGTGTTAGGGAGGTTGAGAAGCACTGCTTTAGGGAGTCTCTTGGCATTACCATGTCCTGTGATTAAAGTCAATGGGAAACTATAACAACCGACTCCAGGCATGATGACCAACAGCACAAATCCCTTCAGAAACGAAGGCATGGGTCACTCCTCTAGAAAAAGAGCCAAGACATGCTGAGGTGGAGGAAATACAGAATGGTGTCTTAATTAGGGTTTCTGTTGCTGTGAAGACACACTATGTCCACAGCAACTCTTATGAAGGAAAACATTTAATTGAGGTGGCTCACTTACAGCTTCAGAGGTTCAGTTCATTATCATCATGGCGTTATGCAGGCAGACATAGTGCTGGTTATATCTTGATCAGAAGGCAACAGGAAGTGGACTCAGACACTGGGCGATTTCCTGTGCATAGGAAACCTCAAAGCCGAAACCCACAGTGATAGACTTACTCCAACAAAGCTACACCTAATAGTGCCACTCCCTATGAGTTTATCGGGACCTTACATCAAACCACCACAAATGGGTAGTAGAGGAAGATAGTTTATAAACGCCAGCTAAGGTCATGTGATCTGTTGCAGAAATCAGGAGTATAATTGACATCAGTGTTTGTCACATTTTGTTAGAATTCGTTTATACAGACATTTGTGTTTTCTTTACTCGATTTCTTTATCATATAATGTAACAAGAGGATATCAATGACTTTCATGTTGGAGATAAAAGATAACAGAATGTCCTTCAAGGGACACTGCCACTTATTCTAAATCTATAATTCATTTTCAGCTGTATGAGGAAGTTATATCATGTTAGGCATAATTATCTGGTTAGATCTATAACACATTTGCAATTATATTTGGGATAGTTACATCATGTTTAGACATTATTGTGACATGGTTTTTATTTTAATTTGGAAATTAAGCATGACATAAGGAGATATGATTATGTGTCAAATTGACAAGGACGAACTTGTGATGGCTATTCTTGGTTGTCAACTTAACTACATCTGGAATTAACTAAAACCCAAATGGCTGGGCACATCTGTGAGGGATTTTTATTTTTTAATTAAATCATTTGAAGTGGGAGGATAAATTCCAATCCAGATCTTTGAGGTGGGAGGATTCACCTTTAATCTGAGGCACACCTTCTGCTGGCAGCCTATAAAAAGGA